TGTCTCACTTTCAGATGTTTTACTGATGTTAGCAGTTACTTCCATATGTAAATTACCATCTCTTTTCTCTCATCAGGTAATTTAAAAGTAAATCCAAATAACTTTCTTTTGTGTATGCTAAATAAATAAATGGTTCAATCTCTCCTTAGTTACCAGTCCACGAATGTTCTCTAACATTCTCATGCTTCATAAACACAAAGGTTAAGGGTGATGTTTCATGGGAAAGTAACAGTCAAGGTGACATATCAGTTTCTCAGGAGAATCAATGGAAACCCTGTTAACCTTGGCTTGCAGATGGAAACACTCAGGTACAAAGATGAGGAATTATTTTTGTCCCTGTGTCAGTGGGAGAAATGATGTTTTCTTACATGCTGGGCCTGTGGAAGTCAGAGATGGAAATGCTTGTTTTACTGGGCTGCATCATGAGCTCCCTGCCCATGATTGAAGTTGTGGCATCAGCTGAACTCGAACCTGCTGACTGAGCAGACACAGCTTAACTAGCTCATTTTCTGGCAATACACAGCTTCTTTGAGACATAAAACCATTCATGTGCTAGAAAGGCTGGTTTTTCAAGCATATGTAAAAGTTGTTCTTACTGATAAGCTTTTGAGCCTCAGAATTGTATTTTACCTATGTGAATGAGGAATTTATAAGTAACAGCTGTGTAACAGCACAGCCTCACAGGACTATCATAAAGATAAAAAAAATGAAGATGACAAAATCCACATTTATAACAGTAATCATGGCCAGTCCAGTATGGCTGGTAATGTACAGCTGAAGGCAATCAATGAAGACCACCAACAGTTCATGTAGCATGAGCACTGCCATGTTTGCTCTCCATGCTGCCCATTCACAGAAACAGCCAAAATCACATTAGGTGCTGCAGATGTGACCTGCTGGGGAGCTGTCTCCCTGCCTCTTCACAAGTGCACATACCAACATCCACATGTGCAGCAGGTCTGACCACAGAACACTGGAAGATTCCACTGAGTAAGGTCAGAAATTTTACTCAGGAAAGAGAGCCCCTCCTTGACAAGAGAACAGTGTCAAAGGGGACATGACCTCAAGGTGTTTGGGATCTTTTGTGGGTTTTTTTATATTCTTCCTTTTTGATTGAGCAAGATCGGCAAGGGAGAGCTCCATTCCCATTATACCATATGGAAATAAGTAACAACGCTAGGATGAACACCGAGTTGTTCCTTGCAGTGGGTTGCATTTGTGCAGGGGGGATTGTGACACCTGACCCTGTTCAGTGAATGGTCCTTTAAAATGCTGACAAGTTTGCTTTGCCTCTCTGGCTCCTGTGAACAAGCTACACTGCAGAGGCCAAGCAGTGTGGGGGTGGAGATGAACAGGAGCTCATGGCAATAAGGTCCCTCTGCACTCCTGTCTGTTTATTCTGGTCTTGCAACTTGGGACACAGTGTAGAACAACTGCTCCTTTTGCTGGCCCATAAGGCACAGCAGAGAACCAGCAGTGTCTGCAGCACACCAAGAATCTCACCCAGAGGTGCTCAGGCTCCCTTCACTCATTTTAGTGGGCAGAGCGTGACTTGTCCACCCTCTTTATGCCCGGATTCCAAAGGGAAGCATCTCACATCTGTGACATTTATTCATCATAAAAATATATTAAAAGAACTCTTGAGGACACTGTTTAGTATCTTCTACCCTTCCTGTTGAACTACTTTAGGAAGCAATCTGAACAGCATCTAGGAATCAATACTCTTAAGCTAAACAGTATCTACATATTTAAAGAAAGCAGCTTGATTAATGTGGCAAAACATGCTGTTATCTGAACAACTACTACTCAAGAACTGAAAGGAATTAGGTATCTTAAAACCTGTTCTGTTCACTTAAACATGCTGAAAGTTCTGTGTTAAGTCATATATCACGTATTTTGATGATTAGTCAGATGATGATTACTTATCACATTAAAATACAGATCTAATCAACACGGAAGTTATATGTGAGGCTTCCTTCCCATTGTCCACACATTTTGTCAGCTAGAATTAATTTTTTTAAACACTAATAGAAAACAATTCAAACCAAACTCAGAATGGTACAAATTTGTTTTGCTTTATTGCTGAGAAGGCCAGGCCCGGTGACTTTGGAACATTCACACAACTTCACTGACACCTGTACTGAGGGAAATAAGGCTGACAGTACTGATTTATTGTCAATTTGTATGAGATTAAAGAAGCTAGTAAAATGGGAAAATTCAGTTGAATCAACTAATATCCCAAGGCATGTGAAATTCTCAAATGCAAATATCTGACAAGTACACTGAGAAAACAGAGTTTAAAAGGCTACCTGCTTGTGAGTGAAGAATAATGACAGACTTAGGAGTACCTGAAAATACAGGGATGGGCTATTCCTCAGGAAAACTCTCTACTTGCTCAAAGATTTCTCAAGCCCAGTCTAGTCAAACCAACGATTTTCATGCTAGAGCTGATTCCAAACCAGCAGGTTAAAGAAGTGGGAAGGAGGAAACCTTGATCAAGCATTGTTTTGCCAGGAGTTCAATGTGGTGATTTTCTGAGAAGCACAGACGAGCTTTGGGCTTGGCCATACAAATGTGGTGCAAGTTGCAAATCTGTACAACCTTATTTCCTTCCTATATGGAAAAGTGGTGCAATGCAGTTTCACTGACTTCATGCCAAGTCATGCCTTAAATAAACAACAAATGAAAAGCAGAACATAATCATACACACATTAGAACAAGTGTTAGGAGTTCCTTAAGAATTATATGGGGGGGAAAAAAAAAACTTGAATTTTTGTTATTTTCTTTTATTGAATAGTTAAAGCTCTGCAGCATTAAAATACAGACAAAACAAGTTGGCAAGAAAAGCGACTTCCTATTGACTTTCATAATCTATCAGAAATTCACACTTTTATGAGCAGAACTTTTAAAAATACATACCTAGAAATCAATTAAAATATTTAGAGAAGTATACAAAACAGTTCAAAGGAGCACAAAATGACAATTCAGGTTCCTTTAAAAAACGGCTTCTCACTTATTTTCTCTGTCTTCAATTTACTGTCAAACACAGGAAAAATCTTTACTGAGTAATTTCCTAGAGAAATAATATTTATGTAGCCAAGGTTCTGCAGCTGGAGCAGGGAAATGCACAAGATTATCGGGTGGTCTCTTACAATGCAGGACCAAGAAATATTATATTAATAACAGTAGACACAGTATATTTTTTATTATGGAATTTGAAAAACTAGGCATATGAACTTAATAAAGGATAAAATTTCTCACTACCTACACGAAAATCTACAATCTAAAATTAATTGATAAAGCAACAGGCCAAATTTTTATATTCTGTCTGCTGTATTAGCTGAAAAATGAAGAAAAACAGTCCAGTTTGAAGTACTTGCCATATGGATCACAGTGCTAAAACATTCCACATTGCACTTTTACAGCAGAAATTAATTTCCAGGTAAGAACATAGCATTGCTTTTATTTTACTTGCTAACGAGGATAATTGGCAGGCAACGCTGCTGCTGCTCTAGATTTGTTCTTTATATGGATCTCTGAAGACCACATGTGCATGCAGTGGTGACAGAAATATTTTCCATATGAGCCACCACAGATTTTAAGGTCCCTCAGTCTGAACAAGGTGAGTCCATCTATCATTTTGTGTGCTCCATAACAATCAACCAGGAAGTTAAAAACTTCTGTGACAACTAGAGGGCAATGATCAGCTTCCAGTTGCTCTGATCATCAAACCATTTAAATTTGTTGAGGCTCTGCTGAAAACTTTTCACTGCTTTAACGAGATCAAAGGCAGCACAAGATTTCATTAAGAGACATTTTCGAGAATCAAAGCTGTTACAGATTCTCTTATTAAAACATCCTGAAAGCAAAATAAAGTTTATTTCTAGACATGTGAGCTACAGAGAGTGTCAACCACACACTGTTGGGCAAGGAGTTTTTCTCAGTTCACTTCCATGTTTACTAGGGAAAGTAATTGATCTGGCCTTCATTAGGCTACAATTAAGTTATGACAGCACTAATAAAAACCAAAGCTTTAAAGCAGAATCACTGTTTTCAAAAGCTTTACTTAAGGAAGGCATATTTATGGAACAAAATTATTCAATGATTCATTTAAAATGCACAGCTACACATCCCATTTCAGGTAGAGTGAGGAAGAATGAGTACCAAAGGTGTTTTCTGCAAGTAATTTCATTAGATGGAACATTTTATATCTAACAGTACCACGCCTGCTGAATTATTTCCCAAATGGCAAAAGAGTAGCAGAAAATTTCTGCTTTGGTATGAAATAAGTACTTGATGACAAACTGCTCTGATGAGGACAAAAATCTGGAAAATGGCTCTTCATAAATCAAGCAGCAACTTTTAAAAGCATATAAAGAGCTGTTCTATTCCACCGTTCAAGATTTTGGAATTAGGAATGCATAAAGTCCCTATTTAATTACATGATATACAGTTTTTTAAAAACCAAGTTCTTTCTGCCCTGCCCCAGACTAAACATTACATGTATTTGCACAAAAAGAATGTTATTAAAGTAATGAAGCCTGGAGCTTTTACAGGCTCACATCCCCAAAATGTATCCTGTGCAAAAAGTTTTTCACTAGTGCAGATTTTTTGCAGAAAATATGAACAAAACACTACCATCTACTGCTGCAGAGTATCATATTTCTCTGCATGTTAGTAAAGAAAAATTCACAAATTAGTCATCTCTCACAGAAAGCATATTGTATATCAAATCCAGAGAAGTTAAGTTTCAAACTATTCTCCTTTAGTACCTTTTGCAAAGGAAAAAAACCCAAACCAAACAGACCCAAAGCAAGAAATCAAACAAAAATCCCCGAACAAAACAAGCCCCAAAACTAAACCAAAGGCTTTTTACACAACACAAGCACAATTATAAAATATCTAACAGCATAAAAATCATTCGCAGTCCATCTTAACAGATACGAAGAACATGCAAGTGTGACAAGACGGTTTTTGACAAGACATTGTACTTTGCTTACCTCACCCCCAGGTCTTGCTAACACTGCTGTTTGAAAGCAGAGCAACGTTAGTATCAGGTAGCTGACAAACATTATTACCCAAAGTTAGAGCTACCCTGGAGGAGCAAACCCTCTGCCAAGTACTAACAGCTAGCAGATGCACTTGTGTCTCAGGATCACAGCCCTGAGCTCTCGTAGGTACGAGTCTGTCTCCCTCTCCCCCTTTCTCTCGCACTCACGGTCCGACCAGGAGCTTTGCTCTCAGCCACTGCTCTGAAGACAACTGGTAAGTTGATCTCTTCATGTAATGACTTCTCCCTGCTGGGGGAGGGGGCTCGGCCAGCACTGAGCTGGGTGGGGGGCTGCAGTCAGTACGAAGCGAAGAAGGGGAGGGACAGAAATGGTCACTGCCAAGTTAAGCATCTGCTGTGATTCATGGAACAAGCTAAACGGTAACCTTTAATGCACGAGGAGCTTTGGCAAAGCGTTATTGACTTAGGCAGGCATGATTGGAGAAACAGGCTAAAGCTGCTGCAAGAGATGCCTGTTGATGGTTAGACGGCATGTGCTACTTAAAGGTACAGCACCTCCTTTTATTCACAAGTTTGTAATACATAAATCAGAAATTAAAATCTAACCAGGAAGCAACCTATGGTTTTACAATCAGCCCTGCACAAGCACAGTCCTGCAACCCGAACGAGCTGATCGTGCTGCCTCTCACCAATACCCCAGGGCAACAGCCCAGGGGAACCCAGGTGCCCATTTGCTCTCTAGAATGTTACAACTGCTTCCTGAAATGGATCTCTTTCCTTTAGGATAATCCTGGACTAGCATATGGATGTAGTCTCTCTTTCATTTGTATATTATAGCTGAAGAAAAGAAATTTTGATTTATAACAATCCAACCCATCAAATAACCTGCTTTGACTAAGCAAGCAGAAGTGCAAGCCTTTCTTAAAGTTCCAGCTCCTGAAGCCAAAAAAACACACTATATTCTCATCTTTCATGTAAATACATAGCTCTTATCCATATGGTTCCAGGGGAAATCTCAAAAATATGACCCAAGAATAACCTGGTCTCGTATGTCAGACAGTAAACCACATGAACTCACAATACAGGTACTTGAAAATATCTCAACATTTTAGGAGTAAGGAAGTAAAAATGTTGGTGAAATTGAGAAGAACACCATTACTAAGTATTATATTTCTTTTTGTAATTTGGTGAACTTTGTATACACAGCTGAGTATGTCGGACTCCTCAGGCTATTTTTAAACTAGCTTTACCAACCATTCTTTTCCTCTCCTGTGTGAGGTGAAAGATAAAATAGTCTTCCTGAGAACTGCAATTAAATACAGTCAAACTCCCAAAGCAGTATAGAAAATCAGCATTCACACTGCTGATGGAAGTCCAGATTCTGTTCTCTTTGCATATGGATATCCGGTTCTCCAGCAAGGCAAAGTCTGACCTCTATTTACATTGTCACTGTACATCTTCCCACTCAGCTCTTTCCTTTTACAGACTCCCCCTATTGCCCATAAAGATCTGACCTTCTCCTGCCTAACGTGTCTCACAATGCTGTGTTAGCTCAGCACCTACAGAAAAGCTTGCTTGCCCATTTTCACCTTTCAAATCAGCAGACCACCTTTCACGGGCCAACCTTTTCATGCCCTTTTGACACGCAGCCTTGCAGTGCTGTGCTCCTGGCAGCACCACTGCAGTGCCTGTGAGCACTGAGGGCATGCCAGGGACCAGGCCCTGCAATGCAGGCCAGGCAGGACTGGGGGTCTCAATGGCACAAGAATCCTCTTCAGATGAATCCCCTGGAGGGAGCAGTACAAGCTTAAGAACATTTAAGAAGCCAGGATGAGAGTTTCAGTATGGACCTCAAGAGTGGTGCTTCCAAAAGATCCCAATGATCACAGGCAGTTGGCTGGGAACTCTGAAGAATGGTGACTGACAGCCCAAATCTGCAGCTTCTGAAAACATGACACTGTAACCTCAATGGTACTTGCTGACAAAAATCATTGAGAACTCTCCATTACTATGTTGTTCTCACAAATACAACACCTCCCTTCAAGACTTCAGTGAAGAAGTATTTTCTCCCCTTTTAAGGCAAGCTGAAGGTTTGCAGATTATACTCTGGTGCTGACAGCTAAAAGCAGAGCTGCCATTACAGGCATTTCGTACACTGCTTGCCTATGGCAAAGTCTTCAGACTAAAAATGTAAAGTCAAATAAACTTAAGGAAATTTTCCATCAAAACCCTGTCAAGAAGCCAATATGTCCTTCCATATTTTTTGAAATATTTAGATGTACCACAAAAGGAAAAAGGATAGTGAGCAAACTGCCAACTAAACTGGAGTTCAAAACACTTCCAGTAGAAGAGCTGCAACTATGATACTTTGAAAATAGATTCAGTGCTTGGAAAAGTTTTAAAAGAACCATTTCAGATTGCAGTGTGTAACAAAAGCCCCAGTGACGAAAGCTTCATCATGTAGATTGACTACTGCTTCCATAAAATTAAACTCTCTTGTTATGCTGCTCTTCACAAAGTGAACTAGCTTTTCTGAATAAATATATAGCACAGGCACAATATTGCCAAACTTCTCTTCTTTAATGGCAGGCAGAAAAGCAAATTTAAGAAAATGAAGACTACCTGTGATTTTAGTCTCCTCTCTGCTGATCCACAGAGCAGTGTATTTCCTGCAAATAATGAACAACCTTACTGAAGTCTAACTAAATATTACTAAGATGAGTTTCTGAGCACAGAAAACTGTACTACATTCCCATTTAATAAGTCACATAACTAATTCTTTCCATATGCATTTAATTTTTCCTCTATGAAAAATACAGGCAGAATTCCCTGCATTTCAAAAGCTGGTGCTCTGTTCTCCATGTGAAGAAAGAGATCTGTTCATACCTGCTCCTGAGCCTTCAAGCTTTATCCCACTGACCTGGATGGAATTGTGCTGCTTCATATGCACAAGCACAGCCTTTCTTTGCAGCACACAGCAAGCAACTTGAAACTTAACACTATGTCCAACTTGCACTGCTGCAACCAAGATCAGAACTTCTCTGCAAACCTCAACAATCACTACACTGGAGATTACAAAAATCCTGGGGCAACAGAAAAAAATCAGTTTATAACTGATGAGCTATTTCAGATATGAAGCTGTACAGTAGCAGATAAAGAAAACAAAATACCTTGCAACAGTAAAATGGAAGAAATAAGATGTTTTTAATTTCAACATAAAACCACCTTTGCTTTTACTGAGAAACATAGCAAAAATAATAGCATAACTATTTTAGGTATATAATTGAGATAAAAGATCCAAAATTATCATTTAAAAAAAAAGAAAAACAAAAACCAAAATCAGAAAAAGCCATCAGAATGTTTTGGGGAAAAGTTCCTATCTCTTATTCTCAGAAATAAAAATACACAGAACAAAAACAGGACCTTTGGATAGTCAGTTCTTATTAAGAAAGTACTCACATTCATCTGTGAAAAAATTAGCTGTCAGTCTCAAAGGGTTAGTAAATATCAATTAGTTCATTAAGTTTGCTTACTACCTTCCTGCTGATGCAATTGCACCTGAATTTCAAATGAGGACGAGTTTGTCAAACTTTGTTAAATATCACAGTTACTGCTTTCTGCTAAAGGTATATTAGCTTAGAAACTTGACCAAATTTCTAATATAAAAGTAACAATAGACAAAAAACGAGATAAAACAAGCTTTTAAAGACTTCCTTTCTACTTCCTACAGTCTCAATGTTTGTAGAGCTTAACTCTCAAACTCTTAAAGCAAGATAACATGGAGGATGACTACTGCATATTTCAGGCTGACTTACTTTAGAACAACACAATGACAATTTCTGTGCATTTTGCATCCAAATGAAACTAATTACTCTAATTCATGTTTTGTCACTACAGGTGCAACATCAGTGCCACTGAATCTGCTCAGCTGAAACACCTAAACCAAAGAACTATTTAAGAAGGTCAAAACAAATTTGCTGCTACAGCATAACCAACAAGACCTTCAGCTGTTTCTTGAAACAAGTATTTAAAATAGCATTCATTTGCTTTGGACAGACACCATCTTCCAGGAATCACTAACAGGAAAAGCAGTAGACACTGCATATTCTACCACTGTTTAAGAAAAGGTTCAATGTTCCATGTAAAAATTTAACAGAGGAGGAAAAAGGCTGAATGTACAAGAAATTCAGTACAAATTACATGATCAAGTGGAAAATCTAGTGTGCTTTGGTTTTATTTTAATTGGTCATTTTTTCCAATTGGTGATCTACAGGTTACTTAAAAAAAAGAAGGAAGGGAGAAAATTTTTATGTTGATGAAGTCATGTGTAAAGATGGCTGCCATATTTATAGCTGTCAGATAGGCATTTCCAATCATTACCTCATTTCATTTTTGCCAGGAAGCATTCCTTTCTGAATTAATTATTCAGATGTAGTAAGGTTAAAATAAATTACCACTGTGCTTTAGCCTGAACTACTGAAAGACACTGACCATAACATTTTACTCAAAATTTCTTCTATGAGGTTGTTTTCTTTTATTTTTAAAGTAATGTTTGTGTTAAATTAAACACTTGAAATAAAGAAGTATCTTGCCACATTATGTGTACCTTGAGCAGACAGGTAAATTCAGACGGCAGAAATAATGCATTTTCCTTGGAAAAAAAACCAGTGTACTTGAGAAGGATGGATACAGAAAAATGCCTTTCCCTACCTTCTTGGATTCAGGAAATACTGCAGCTGAAGCACTGAGGGATTTCTTTACCCCTGTGAAGGGATTATACATCTGCTCCCCTGGTGTCTGCATTTCACTGGCACACAGGGTGATGAAAGAGGATGAGATTCTCTCCTATCCTCTGCCTTCTACAGCTAAAGCAAGTGTTGCTATTGCAGTCCTTTTGGAAGAGCCATGATCACACTGAATCTGGATTTCAGCAGAGGAAATCACAACAGGTACAAGAAGGACCAAGGAGTGCTTGGACTTTTATGGATGCCATTGAATAAAACCAAACCCACACAGCTTGGGGAGGAAGACAAAGGGTGAGCTATGATTGCAGCCTGAGGGTTAAGGAGGAAACAAGTGCCAGAAGCTCACACATATTCCACTGCACCTCAGCATTCTTTCTTGGTTGAAGTTTTAACTTCATTTAGTATGTGAAATACCAACACTTTCCCAAGTAACTCACAGCTTTTATTTGTATCCTTTTGCTCAGTTTTTTGTTAGGAAACCAGTTGACTTCACACAATATCTTGTACAAAGAAGCATTTCAGGGGGATAGCTAAGTCCCTAAAACTGAAATATTGTTTGGCTACCAGAATACTCCATTGCATGTCTCCTGCTGCTACCTTACATAATGAAGCTAGAGATTTACTTCTCCATCTATATGTCTAATAGCTTTTGGATCCCACTGTTATGGAAAGGACAAAATGCTGTGCAAAAGTGCTCTTTAAAGGGTTTGTAATCAATTACTCCATACAATCACTTTGTGTCCTAATACTTTTATTGGTTCTCTACATTCCAACTTAATTTTCAACTTCTGTTCCTGCTTATTTCCCTTCCTAAACTTCACAATTCTCATTTTTCCACTTGTTTGACTTCTTCTCCGTTTCTCATCCTTTTCTTTCTCTTTTGTGAGAAAATAGAGATCAGTTTAGAAAGTACACACCATTTAAAAGTTATTATGCTGTGAAAACAGCATCACAAAGCAAGTTTCAAACATTGGTCTATACTTAGGTCAGCCCAGCACAGGTTACAGCAGTGGAAGTTGTCAGTTCCTTCCATAATAACGAGTTACCTTCATGGCCACCCCGTTTTCTCCTCTTTACTACCACAGTACTGGCAGTGCACGGTGCTTTTAAACTACACTCAAACCCTGAAGAGGAAAATCTGAGCATTTCCTTCCTCTTCTCCCTACTCTTGACTTCTTAAAGCTAAAACTTTTGATTACAAAGCCAGACTTGGCTAAGAAGGTCCGACTTCAAAGAGCTGAATATTAACCTCAAATTGATTTATCATCTTGAATCTTTTCTTTGCTACTAAATCTATTATCCCTCTCCCCTTTCTGGCATTACGATGTGCTAGAGGGAGGAAAGGACCTTTGGTTATCACCTGCCCAGGGCTGAGCTAGAATGTGTATTTTTCATGGCCATATTCCAGTTTTCTGTATTTTGATGACAGAATTCTGGTTTATATCCCAAGTCTCAGAGCACCTCTTTGCCTCCCCAGACAGTAGTTGCATAGTGCAAAGAGAATAAGATGACATTTATGAGGCATTCCTTCCTCTGACCAACACTACGTTTTCACTACAGAGCAAGTGGACACCATTCTTTGAACTTCTAATTTTTATGACTACCATTCATCTTGTGACAAAAAAATTTTATTTCTGTGTTTGTTAATCAATGTCTTTGCTTTCCTAATAAGGCATTAAGATTTTATGCACCATATCCTCCCACTTAAACTTTGATATTATTTTCTTAAGTATTTTCATAACATATTCTTCAACATTATTCATGCTGTCTTCTTCCTATTCCTATACACAAAAGAGTGGTGAAACCAAAAGGAAAAGAATTCTTTGATGGATCATATTTAATCTCCTTTTCTGTATGCATGACAAAAGAGACACATATTTCTAGAAAACTACCTCTCATCACCCAAGTTTCACATAAAGCATTTGGATCTGTGTTTCCTGTTGAAGTGTGGCAAATGAGCAGCCACTAAAAATAGGACCCAAAGGAAAAGCAGACTTTATCCTTCAGAATATTTGAAGCTGTTCCTTTGCAACTGCCACAAAACTGGAATAAACCTATACTTGGTGCCAGTGCTGTATTTGGATACTTTACCTAAAATGAGAAATGAGACTAGGTCTGTTGGTCCGTTAAAAAAATAAATCCCCATGAAAAATTCTAAATAATCTGTAACTACACCAAATTAATTGTAAATTATACAAATAATGCAGATCTATTTCCTGGGAAAATTAAGTCTCCTCCTAAGTAGAACATTCTAAATATGAGTTTGAATCAGAATATTTTCAAATCTTTCACTTCTTCATGAGGGGTAAAGGTTGATACTTTTAATTCTACATGTAGAAAGTAATTTAAAGGTACAGTAAGATCTGGATCATATAACTATACTTGTTTTAATTATAAAACCAAATAAACAGAGAAGTACAAAAAAAAAAAAGTACCAAATGGCATAACACAATAGGCCACAACCTACTCCATTAATCCTCCTATAAGAACAGAATTATAAAAGAGAGTCTCTTCAGGTCCAAACAAAAAAACTTGGAAACTAGATTTTAGTGGTAACACCCATTTTCCCAAGTGTCCCAATGACAGCTACCTTAAACATGCCATCATAAAATGATGGGAACAAGCTGTGTCCAAGAGAAAACTAACCAGGTAGGACTGTGAATGTAAAAGTAATTTTCAGTTTTGCTTGGAAACATTCTTGAAATTCTTTCAGAGGAAGAAGCCCTGGTAGAACATGTTTTCCTGCATATACACTCCCTGATCTTTTATTTTCTACACTGGTAAAAATCTCAAAGCAATAGTGATATTCTTTGAGACTGAGGAAAGCAGAACATTGAAGATCACTGTGAGTCCTTCCCAGGAGTGGATCAAGTGTCATGCTAGGCCAATATGCAGATAGGAACTGTGTAAAAAACATTATGGTAAAATCTACTTCTGTAAGAAATGAGCATCACCTCCTGCCAACTAAGGATGAAGACAAAGCTCTGCTGGCTGATATTTTTCATGCTTACTACATTACCAAAGCAATAAAACAGTATCAGCCACCTTCAAAAACTGTCAGGGAGCACTGACAGCAGTGACAGCTGCTCCCTAAAGGGATGGAAGTCAGGTGTCAAGTTCCAACAAGGGCAGCAAGGCAGGTGCTTTCACTGGCCAGGACTGCATCCCACTCCTCCACACGTCAGACAAGGGCAGATCCGGGGCCAAACAAATCTGGAGTGCCAAGGCAGGCCCAGGGTGAAGCCAAGCCAGCAGTCCATGGAGCAGGGGGCAGAGCAGCAGGGCCCTGCCCAGGGACACACAGGGCTCAGGCTGAGCCACACTGAGGTTGCCTCCAAGGCAGGACTTGAGGCCCAGGGCTGAATTTAAAGGTGGCTACTAAGGTAGCCTTGGTGAGCACCAGGGTGAGGCTGGTCAGAGCCATTAAGGCTGATTAGAATCATCAGAGCCCTGAAAATCCGTGCCTAGGCCAAAATTCCCTTTTCTAACTACATAAACAGATGGCCAGCAGTAGTAGAAATCAACCAAACAAAAGGAAGAAGAGATTGTATCTGGCTGCAGATAAACAGTCTTGAAATAGAGGTAACATCAGAAGGAGTCAGTACTGCACATATCTCACAAACTAATTAGGGGACAGGACTAGAGCAGCATTCCATGGAACAAAACAAAGTCAACATCCCAGCAGGAGTCATGCTACAGAACCAGAGGCAAGGACAATCCTGCAGCACAGGCACCTCCGTTCTCTGATGTCACAGAGGTACTGAATCAGATTAAGATCCAAAGGATGAAGAGAAAAAAATCTTAAAATACTTTTATCATGTTTAAATTGTATTTTTTATAGTTTATAGGAATATCAGGCTTCCACTGTCTTCTGACAGGAAAAGCAAAGGAAAATAGCTGTTTTGTTGCCAAAGGAAATGTATACGTTTGACTGAAAACTTGGGATTTAATTGCAATGCTGGTCAAAATGCACTGGATTAAACACTCCCCCAGAATCCAAATACAGGAAGAAAGAGAAGGAAGGTTTCCAAAGTCATTTCATTACACATCCCAAGTTACCTGAAGTGACCAGAGAGAACTAATCTCAGAGTACTGTAGCCTATGCTTTATGCAGCAAGCACATCTCAGCTTTTCCCATGTAGCTACAAAACTCCTGAGTCAAAGTTGCAGCTATTCCTTCCCAAAAATCTCTCCATATTCTGTTTAATTCCATCTTCCCAATTCACCATCTCTACCAACAGGACTGTCTGACCTCAGCACACATCTAATGTATTGCAAATTAAAAGAATTAACACCAGCCTGGGTCAAAATGTACCCTGTTAGTAGACTAAAGGCTCATTTTTCATCACTGGGGGTCCATGCCAGGTCAAAACCACACAGTACCAGCAGATCAGTTACACTGCTGGTGCAAATTAGGTACAAATTAGAAGCATAGCTGCAGTGCTAGAACAAGGCTTCTCTTTCTCTGCAGATGTATAAAAATGAACAAATTCTTTCCAAATAAATAGAAACTGTGCATCTTTATTGCCTTGATAAAAACAAAATTCTGGAGAATCTGATTGTTTATACTGTAGATTTTTTGGATAGTTTATCTTATAAATGGACTTGTTTTTAAAGTAATCCCATTAAATACATGCTGCCCATTAGAACAAAGTGAACCTTCAGTGGAGTCTTGCAGCTGTCTGGACAGTGGTACCACATGCTTAAAAGCTTGGGAAGCACACAGGTAGAGAAGACTTCATTCCATTTTTCTAGGTGTCTTTCAAGTACACATAGCATTTCTGAAGAGAAAATGACCAATTCTGCATGGCTGATTTGTGCTACACAGGAAATTGGAACCATATAGCTACAGATTATGTTAAATCTTGAGTTATATGGCATGTGTATGAATTCTGAAAATTCATATGCAGCTCAAACTAGATAAGGAGCATGTTAAAATAATTATGCATTCTTGTGTCTCAAATATTTCAGTTACTGCTGGATTTGCAAGTCACAAAACTGACAAATACTTGAATAAACAGCTAATGAGTCTCTGAGTACCCAGAGCATATCCAGTATAATTTAACTTGAAATTTCCCTTTTTAAATCCAACAACTGGAACAAGTTCAGTACTGTCAAATTTTCTCATGGGACAAACAACTTGTCTAAATTCAGGCACACTTCTCTACTATAGAAGGAGGAGAGTTAAGCCCAAAATGACTCCATGAAATTGTTTGGTACTCTGAAAACTTTTCTTAAGAAGTCACTTAGCATGCCATTTTATTTGTAAGCAGTTATATATAATTCTTAACCCTTGGTATGTTAAAACAAGT